GATTTCGAATGATTCTTCTTCTAGAGATGTCAATACCAATTCTCAGGGATGTAACATTTTATTGAGTATTTAACTGTGAACGAAATCGTCGAGGGCGATCGGTTTCTTGTCAAGCAATCGTTGTCTAATTTCACGAATGACAATACATAGTGGTCGTAGTATATAGAAACCGCGAAACTGTACATTTTTTAGATTAAACCTTGTATTATGATAAACGCCATTAAATGGCTACATTTTGGCCCCTCTTTATTTAATTAATTGAATTTGTATAGCTATGTATACTTCCATTGAAGCCTATAACGTTATTAAGCATAAGTACTTGCATTTGATTAGTAATTTAAACAAAATGATCTCTGTACATCGTTTACTTTTAACTCTTTAACTCTTTGATTACCAGATTAACGACGATAAAAATTTCACGGAGGTTCAAATGTATTTTCAGAAAAATATAAATTTGTTGGTTCAGATTCGATTCAGCTTTCTTCGGTTCTGTGGGTTTTAGTTAAATTGATTTCGATTTTAATTAACGTTAGACTGGCAGTCATCACCCACGTGTAGATGTTATGGTAATCAAAGTGTTAATTATACTTTTGAGAAATGTAATAGCAGTTGGAATGAAATGAGTTCGTCATTGAAGCTTGTATCGTTTTTATTATCTATATGCTAGCTGTGTAATCACTATCGTCCGAAAAGAGGCCAAATACGTTACTCTGTAGATAAACAATATTGAAACTATACATATCAAAGTAGCATAATTTTTCAAGCATGAGAAAATTAGAGAAGTCAATGTTAAGGTGTAGCTTAATTTATAAAGTGGCAATGAGTCCGATTTTAATCGAGAATTGTTTGAGTCAGCAACTTATTTTGATTAATGAACATTTTTTTAACTGTATTTTACACGTGTATTTGGTATGTTTGTATTTATGTATGAGTGTGGCAATGTGCAGATATGAGAAGAATAATTAATTCTTATAATAATACATATTTGTTTTTCCTTTGGATTATGCAATCGGAATAAAATGTATGCAATGCAAAAAAGTATGAAAAAAAAAGTCGTGAAAGATATTTAATTATAATTAAATGATAATTACTTATATCTTAGTGATATATTGAAAGAATTTTCCATCTTTTTCTTTAAATACAATATCATTAAGCATTCAAAAGTCACTCGCCTATGAGAAACATTTTCTTTTTGTGATTAAAACGTACTAAAATTAACAAATATATATACTGTATAAATGAAAATAGCTTACACGTATTATTGATAGACATACAAGAACTGTCTGTCTGATCTGTATTTACTAGTAGGTTAATTGTTGTAAATATGTATAATAGAAATACTGTACTGTCATCTCCAATAAAAAATGACGCATTACGAAAATAATTATTAGAATAAGCTTGCATAAATATTGGAAATTTAGTTATATTAAAGTTCTGTGAGGAATATTAAAGATTTCTTTCATTACTTTCCCCTTAATTCCTTTTCAATTCAAATTCTCATTTAAATTTCTCGCGTTAACTGACGTCAGAGACTGCTATGAAACAGAATTCTGAGAAAGCGCGGTTTATTGCAGTCTTATGTCGTGTTGAAGAATTACTGATTATTTCTAAGTCATTCGTTACTCTACGTTTCAGATTTTTACTGCAAACTGTTAGTACTGCCTCTTAAAAGTGGATAGCAAATATTGTTTAAGTATTTTAAGACGATTGCATCTAAAAATGAACGAAGGTGCAATAGAGACACAGCAGGGAAAGATCATTTGTCCGCGGGAAGAATTGGATTTGGGAATCACTTTAAACGGAGGGCAGAGTTTTAGGTAAATTGTTAAAAATTTTGTAATTATTTTGTCTATCCAACATAACCAATATTCGTGAAACACCTGTAGCTTTTCGGTGATATTTTTCATAGAAGTTTTAGAATTTTCCTAATTGTCTGCTGATAGATGTATACATTATTTTACTCATAAGTATCAAATAATGAAATACAATATATTTTAGATGGTCTGCTGAGAATAATGGATACAGAGGCGTATTTAATGGATGTGTTTGGACTCTCGTGCAGAATGACACACACTTATCATATGTTGTTCAAGGTCCACTGAAAGATTCCATAAATTATAATGATATTTTATCGCAGTACTTCAGATTAGATGTATCATTGTTAGAGCTTTGCAAAGAATGGAGTGCAATTGATGAACATTTCCAGAAATCATTGGACAAAACGAATGGTGTTAGGATATTAAAACAAGAAGTTGTGGAAAATGTTTTCTCCTTTATATGTAGTTCAAATAACAATATACAAAGGTTTGTCTAATACATTATCTTAATTTAATGCAATGTAAATAAAAGTATGTAATCTTTCTAGGATATCAACAATGGTAGAAAAACTGTGCTTCTTATTTGGTGAGAAAATCTGTTCAATTGAGGGTAAGGATTATTATAATTTTCCATCTATTGAGGCATTAGCAAAGGGAAGTATCGAACAAAAATTGAAAGAAGAGAAGTTTGGGTACCGTTCAAAATATATAGCACATACTGCAAAACGTTTGATGGAACTTGGTGGCAAAGAATGGCTTTTAGGTTTACATAAAGATAACAATGTATCTTATAATGAAGCTATGGAAAAATTAATTATTCTTCCAGGGATTGGACCAAAGGTTGCAGACTGTATATGTTTAATGTCCTTAGGTCATTTAGAAGCTGTTCCAGTAGACACCCACATAAAACAAATTGCTGTAACAACTTATTTAGTCCATTTACAGCAACAGAAACAAATTAGTAATCAACAAGTAAGCAATTATTTACGTAATTTATGGGGCCCTTTTGCTGGTTGGGCACAAGCTGTAGTATTTTGTGCAAAAATCAACAAACCTCAATCTAAAATTCCTCCAAGGAAAAAATCTAAAAGAAAAAGTCTGTGTAATTAAAAAATACTTATGCATATTATTGTAAATAATAAAATATATGCATATACTATTTTGTGTAAAAATCGAAGAACTTTATTGTAACAGTAATAGTTAAATATCTTCATTTTAGATATAGACAATAAGTTTACAATTAAAATATATAAAATATAGCACTTTTGAATGTGAGATGTTCTACATCTTGTGTTTAGTTAAGCTTAAAGTAATCATCAAAAGTTGTGTAGTCCATGAGAGGGTTTAGGTTGTCATCATCATCATCATCACTATCATCTAAGAAGAAACATACAGTATTATCTATGAACATGAATAATTCTTTACATGGTATCATACCTCCTTACCTAAATCTGCTTTTAATATATCCGCAAAAATGTTCTCAAAAAGATAGCAAAGTCCAGGGAACATTTTTAATAAATACTCTCTTTGGGATGATTTTAATGCTGTCAAACATTCCATCTGCAAAGATACAGGTGTAGAACTACAATGGGACAATCTCATTTTACTTTGTGCAGCCGTAGAACACACCATAGGGTATAACATTGTGTCCTTTAATCCAGTGAAAGCAATACCTAGAATATATTGCTATAATTATCATGAATGTGGTATATTAGCTAATAATAAAACATCATAAAATACTTACATACCGAGAGATTTTCTATTGTGGAAAAATTCTAAAGTACCATTCCATGTATTTAAATGTACTCCAACTAAGCTATCTTGATCAAAACAACATCCATATTTGCGTTTTTTACCATCATATTGTATATATCCACGATAGGAAAAGCCAAAAGACTCTTGATCAAGTCCAAGGAATGAACAAAAATCATTCTTCCTACTGTTCATATCTACTTTATCTGTGCCGACACCAATCATCTGAAAATATTACATAAAAATATCTTTCATACATTGCAAAACACATTAAATATATATTAAATGCTTACAATATCTGTTCCATAAGTAGGGGTCAGTATTTTAAGTTCCCAATAATGATGTCTCCCTTTTTCCAACAATTTAGTACCTCTAACTGCTGATGTACCATTACTAAATATGCCATGAAACTGAACACTTAAGTTTTGTTCAAATAAAGTAATAGAAGTTGTAGCATATTCTTTGTCCCATTCCCATTCATGCACTGTACATAAACAAAAATTACAATTTCTTAGAACATTTGGAACATCTATTTCATACAAATTGCACCAACCATATTGTAATACAATAATATTTTATTTATGATTGTTGGAAGTGGATATCGATGTTATTTTTCAGAGAAGATAGAAAAATGTTAAATAACACGACGCAATTGTTACCATCATCCTTTTCGTAATAACAAACCCCTAATTGACAGTCACAGAACCAAAAGTAATACGATGATCCGGAAAAATGATGTTGTTCGAAACTAATAACTGTACATAATCATAAGATATTTCCACTGTTTCACAGCAACTTTTCCACGATCACTTGTAACTTAACGTTGCTCTTCGATTTATATAAAATATTTATAACTATTTAGCCTGGTGATAACAGTTATCAACCGCAAATTTGAATACTTACTAATTAGAGGTTTATCACCGACTTCACTAAAATCGTTCAATATACTGTTTCATTGAATGCAACTTATAAACATTTAGAAAGAAATAGCATTTTTATTAACGATACATTATTCCATTGCAAGTATAAGTCTATCGCAAGTATTTAAAAGCCCCGGGAATAAAACGAAAATTCTTTTTCCTATTAATGATTTTGAAAAATAAATAATTAAATGTTTCTATTTCGTTTAAAAAAATATGATCTAATCTTTAGTTTAAACATTTCGTTAAATTGACCGTAGAGGAATGAAAATTGGGATGTTTAAAAATAGGCGCGAAGGAAACACTGCATGTGTGCTTTTAGACGTTTTAGATTGGCAAGAGTGTGTCATTTCGAGTCGATGCTCTGGACGAATTTCCGTCTTTTACTGGGTTTACGCAATCGACAACGATCGTTCTCTTTCCGTCGAATTTGTCGAATTTTTCAATAAAACAAAACGCAAAATGCTGCGTTTCATGGGAGGACGCATACACTCTATCGTAAGGAATTCAATAGTGCCACGCAGTACGGCTGTCGGAGTCCAGAACGCTCGTTCTTCGCACGATGGCCCAGAAGAATCCGAAGAGTCTTTCAATAAAAGATATCAAGAATACCTTTCACGTCCAGATCTTGATAGTTGGGAAATCCGACAAGTTATGAATTCTTTAGCAGGTCAGTAATCGTATGCTCGCGTTATGTATTGTATAAAAAGTTGAATGGAATTTGCAAAGATGTTCATTAAACCTCAGTTCATACTTTACTTTAGTTCATTTAAATTCAACAGTACTGTTCCAATTTCAAAACACTCATTTATTTTTTCCCAAGTACCTTAAAGACATTTTAAATATATTTTATATTTTTCTTAAATGTTCTCTGTCGACTGTACCCAATAGAATAAAAAATTGTGTCAAATTGATCTGTCCAGTTTTGAGAATTTCAGTTGTATAAAACTAAACTTGATAGAAAATAAAAAAAATGTAATACTTAAAATATCTACAGGTAATACTCAGAACCATGAACATGTGTTGTATAGAAAGAAAAATAAATTTGACCAAGTATGAAGTAACATTTTTTACATCTATGAACAAACCTCTTAATAAGGTTGTCTTTAGAAGTATTTCTCAATTGACTAATTTATTAATTTTTCTGAGGTTATTTGTTAGGTGTATTAGCATATAATTGTAATTCTTTTTATACTTTTTTAGGAATGGATCTTGTTCCTGACCCAGTAATTATCAATACAGCGCTAAGGGCATGCAGACGACTGAATGATTATGCCCTTGCAGTTAGGTTCTTAGAACTTGTAAAAGACAAATGTGGCGATCAACTTAATAAAATCTATCCTTACATTTTGCAAGAAATCAGGCCTACCTTGGATGAATTAGGCGTGAACACCCCAGAAGAACTTGGTTATGATAAACCTGAATTAGCACTTGAATCAGTTGATGATATGTAAGGATAAATACCTCTATGTAATTGTATATTTAAACATAAAGTTAGTATTCGTGTATAGAAAAATGCCTTTCATTGGATCTTTCATGAAGGAAAACAGGAATAATCCTTGATTCGAGAGAAAAAGGTACTTTTATACATACCTGTTATTAAAAGCTGAATTCAATAAATGATCATTATCTTATGTAATGCCTCTTCCATACACAAAGCACACTGATCATTCAGTGAGGAAAAAATGTATAAAAATCACATATGCTTGTGCAACATTTATAAACACGTTTAGAATTAACAAAACAAAATGATATGTATGCATTATATTTTAATAGCAACGTCCATTGGTTCTTTGAGTTGCTTCTAAACTCTTAATATTTTTCAATTTACCAGTTTTTGTCCTTTTTACATCAAAAGTAACCAAAGCGGAAAGGTGACACAACGACGACATATGTACAAGTTGCATTTGTAAGATACACAGCGATAAAGTCATGTACATGTACATCTATAATTATCTAAAATGGTATTACACTTCTTGTTCTCCTTTCAAACGACATTCAACTTAATTTACGTTCTGTGTGCTTTGTTACAAACATGAACAAAAAAAAATATAACATGTCCTTACATTGGAATATTAATATATTACATTCTTTTTGCACATAATGGCCGCGGTTTTAAAAAAGAAAACAATATAACAATTAATAATCTAGTTCTCGTGATTTGTTCTACTGATAATTATTAAATTTGACTACTTTTTTCTATAATGATATAAAAACCTTTTTTATTTTTTGGTATCGTTCATACTTGGTATTGGGGGCAGTTTGTTGTTTCAATGTTACGACTCTGCTCCTGATTTGAGCCTTCGAATATAAAACAGCACGTTACACACCTACAGGAACTTCATTCACGATATAGACACGCGTACCGATAAACATTAATTAAGTAAGTATCACAAACTCATTATTAGAATCAATTGAAAAGTAAATATGTTCGTACATGTATATATAATCCACGCGAGTTAGTATGTAAAGAT